GCACTGGCGGTAGCCATTAAATAACTTCACCCCCTTTAGACCATTCTTCCGACCCATTGAGTGGAGTTCTGTGTGCACTGCTGGCACCAGCCCCAAGCTGTACCTTCACCACAATGCCCGTTTCCGGCGTGTGGGCCGGCTTACCGGCTCCCCCTCATTCATGCGAACACGCCTACGTTGGCTACCTGCCACAGTCCCCATCCATGCCAGCCCTACGCACACTCTGCTCCTGGTATGGCACGACCGGCAATCCTTTCGCTCTCTCTCTCTCTCTCCTCTCAACTTACTCCTCTCTCTACTCTCTCTCCACCTATTCAACTCTGTTCTTTGCTTTGCTTTGCCACTCTCTGCTCTTCTTCTATGGGGTCAGAATGCTCTCTTCTTCTTTTATGGGCCATGCACCTCCCTAAGGAGGCCCTGAGGCTGGGCCTCAAGCCTGCGACAAGTTCACAGTCCGGTCCACCGCCGAGGCCCCAGCACTGCCTTTTTCTTCTTCTCCTCTCTTCTCTTGCGTTTCTCCTCTCTCCGCACTCTCTGCTCTCCTCTCTCTTGTCTATCCACTCCCTCCTCCCTCTCTAGTTTCCACGCTATTACTCTCCTCTCTACTTTCCTCTCCACTGCTCTCCAAGAGCGACTACAGTCACGAGGATCGCGACCGCCCCAGCCACATCCCTGTAACTGTTGACACTTTTGATACTTTTTGCACTCGACAAGAACAAAGGGCCCTAAAAGCGACCACAGTTACGAGGATCGCAACCCCCCAGAGGCCCCATCCCTGAGACTGTTGACACTCTTGACACGTGACAGGAAGAACAGTCTCCGAAAGCGACGACGGCTTCGAGGATTGCAACCCCTAGGGGCCCCATCACCGTGACTGTTGACACTGTTGACACTCGCAGGTCCAACAGTCACGACAGTCGCCGGGATCGCAACCCTCGGGTGTCCAAGCGGGGTCCGACGCTCCCGCGACACATTCTGAGGCTTTGCGAATGCTTGCGGACGTTTGGACGCTTCGCAAACACAAAGGCAATCAGTTCTAGTCACCTCCTGGACCACTATACCCCAACCTTTAAAACGGGAACCCTTCTGCGCAGCATTCGGGAAAAACCGATCAAAAGAGGCATAAAAGAAAAGGTTCCTTCGGCTTTTGGGGCCAACATTCAGCCCAGGTGCTCCTTGTCAGTCCCATTGATCCAATTCACGGTATCCTGCCTGAACACAGATTATTGAGCAACTCGTAATTTTTGCAAGACCATGAGTCTACTCGAAAGATGCTACGCTGCTACGCGGCAGTGGAAGCGTTTCCGATTCTTTCTGTCCGCATCTCTCTTTCTTCTTCCTGTATGGTCATCCCAATGCTCAAGCTAACCTAGAATATTCTGATGTGGAACACAGCACGAATCTTTTTATTCATGCAGCTGACACGGCTGTATTTATCACTGACTCTACCTCTACTCCATCCCCCGCCTATGCTTGTCCTGGTTGTATTTCAAGCCTTCATGGTCGTACCTCGCGCTGAGCATGCTTCCAGCATGTGCAAAAGAACTTAATTTTGGCGGGGCCGCTCCATGTCCAACCACAGCTCGCCAACTGCCCAGGAAGGATGGCTTTTCTTGCCTCGAGCTTGAAGCCGATGTACAAAATCAACTGTCACCACGAGCCCAGCAATTCGCCCATGTGCTGGGTCCAGCATCAGTTGCAGCCTGGCAGCAGTAGTGGCCGACGAACTCGGCGCCATAGCCTGGAAATTCCACGCACGCATATGTACGCCGGGCAAAGCTCGACTACACAACAGTCAAGGTCTGAGAAACCACCACGTACCGTCTGGCTTGAAATGACTTATCTCCCGCTGCCTTTTGAGATTAGCTCAAAAGCTTGCCGCCCCGAAGCCCTTGACGAAGTCGAATCGCCAAGCATCGAAGCCAATGTCAAGGCGGAGCCAACGCAGCCAAACAGCAATGCTGTTCTGAACCTGTTGGGGTCATGCTCAGCAATGGAAGTAAATGTAGAGCACTGCATTGCATGTCAACTGCCTTCTTGTTGCCGTGATCAATGTCTGGCGCAGCATCGAACTTCCCGTCATAGTGGCCAGGGCCTGTGGTGCCACGGGCTAGCAGAACTTCCCTGAATCAATAAAGCTCCTGGAATGGCCGCGCAGGCAACGACTGTGTAGCTTGCAGCTCTTGTGCACTGTGACCAATTGCAAACGCTGTTTCAACATGTTTCAGGACTGAAGCAGATGATGCAACACTGAAATTCCTCAGCTGTCAATTCGTGCACTACGCCTCGTTCCCCAGTGCCATCAGAGAACTTGTCGCCAAGGGTTATGGCCCAGCCTGCCGGGCAAGTTATTGACTGGAGGTAGCTGGTGTCAGAGGAGGCGGGTAGACGAGCAGACAAGCTGGTAACTAAGGGGTGTAATTTGTTTGGTGCGTTTGTTATTTGTGACTTTTTTTTTGTTGGGCGAGAGCGCGATTCTGAGGCAAA